TGATAATCAAGGGTCCACCATTTTCAGTGCTGTATGGATCGAGAACTCCACGGACGTGAGCGCCAACCAAATCCTCTTGAGGAACGAGGTCTGGTGGGTTGTTCTGGACGTACTGGGACTCGCTGATGAGATCGGAGAGTAGAGAAATGTAGCTTCCCTTCTCGAGCTCACCCAGAATGTCTTTGACGGATGCATTGGAACCCATGGCTGTGATTCTTGTCCAACAATAAAGAATTGCACACTGAATTGGTTACGTTTTTCGAGTATTTATAGGCCAACAAGGAGACGTATCCACTACGATTTCTTCTAAAAAAAACAGAACGCAAGGCTGGGGTAATACCCATCCCCATTTGCCATTATCCTTAGACCGTTACCCGCGTAGACTAATTTAAGAAATGATCATAGATTTATAAGTGAGGAATGTTAACCCATTATTATGAAATCTTGGAGAGTAGTGTTCCTCTCACAATTATTATTATTTTGACATGTGACTAAAGAAAATATTTAAAATTTTATTCACAAAAAATAATATAAACGTAGAAAAAATCCGACCATAAAATCTTTTTTTTTACGAGATTCATTCCTTCACAACATCTCAACATAACTTTTTTTTAAATTCTTATAAAAAAAGACGATAATAATAATAATAAATGAAGACCAAAATAAGAACTAAATCATATGATGTTTTGAATTAATTTAATTTGGCTGGAATTTAAAGAAAAATGTCCTTACCTATTGTGAAGAAAGGAATGTCGGGAAGAAATTATATAAAGCAAATAATACATATTCTATATTAGATTATTTTTTATTCAATATTTTCAAAAATAAATTAATTCCGTTATCAAAAGGAAAATTAAATTTTAATTCTTATCATTTTAAAAATTATGATAAAATTTACGAATATTGTAATGTGATAATATGCTTATAGAAAGGAAGGAGAAGTATATTTTTCGAGAGACCCCTCTGGTTCGTGTTTAGTTACATTCGTTTCAAAAGTGGTTTCTATTTCTATGTGTTTTCTTTCTCGCTTTCTCCATTTTTCCGCCATTTATGAAGTTTATTTCAATTTCTCAACGATAATTGATGACCGTAAGTAAGACTAAATTTGTAATTTAACTATAAAAAGTGAGAGACGTAATTAAAATTGCACGTTGAGAGAGCGTCGTGTGCATAGGCCAAATAGTGATCGTAAAGTTACATAGCAACTTGGATTTGGAGTGTTCGATAAAATTCAAATGAAAGGAAAACGTGCCACAAATACAATGTCCTTATTTAATGTAAATCTTTATCTTACAAATCGACTGCTTTTGTCTTTTTCGTTTGTGATAACCTTTAGCTTATTCTATTGTGAGGATGGAAGGAGAAAAAAAAAAAAAAAGGTGACAATGGAACGTGCCATAAAATGGTCCCTTTTTAATTCAATTATTTGTGGGGTTCATTCGAGAGTTATTAGACCTTCAAAAATAAGACATAACGTTACAGATCTAGAGGTTTCGATATAGTTTTCAATTTTGTTTAAACTCACATTTAAATAAATTAACTGAGATCACATTTGAATTGAAACTTACTATCCACCTTCCTTTTTTTGTGGTTCAATCATTATGAATGGACGACTTTTTAGGATCTTAAAATACATGTGAGTGAGAATAAACAAAAAAAAAAACTCGTGTTGATGTGAGAGAATAGTCATCGTTTATTTGTGTTGGGATAAGAAGGAATAAAAGATAAGTAAGATATACATAGAGATATGAAACATGTGACAAATCGAAACCTTTAAAATAATTGTAGTAATGGTTCATTATTGTTGTTCGTATTTACTCTTATTTTTCGGGATTTGGGAATTTATGTTCATACTATTCAACCTTTTCATACCTATTTTCAATGCATCTATGTTCATCCCATTATTGTTTATTATACCATGTGATTTTAATAAGTTAAACAAATAAAATTCGAGAAATATATAAAAAAAAAAAAATTAATCATGTATTAATTAATTATGGTTAACTTATGAATTTAGTGTAACTTATTTTAGTTTGAATTAGTTATGAAATATATGATATTCGGAATTTATTAGTTAGGAAATATATCTGAGATATTCGTAATAAGTTGAATTTGAATAGTAATATATTTTATTTTATTATCAGGATTTAGTTAGTTTATATTTTCTTTGTATATATTATTTAATATCTTGTATCCTATTTAAAGAGTGTGAATATCAATGAAGATTGAACATTCGATCCAATTTTTTTTCTTATTCTTAAATCTGTATTCTTTCGTTGAGTAATAATAATATTGTCATATTTACTCACACTTTTGAGTGGTAGATATTGCGTCAGGAAAGTAACAAAGTTTGAGAAATTCTAAAACTAAATACATTATATATATTAAGCAATGAGTTAGTTTTTTTTTTTTTTAAATTTTAATTTCGTCCTAAAAATGCGTAAAACAAAGTGTTTCACGTGACAAATAAATTAAATTAAAAAAAAAAAAAGAATCTTATCCTTAATCGGGATTAGCCCATGGGTTCGAATTCCCAGCCGAAATTAACAATCACTTTCCTTCTTGTTTGAAAATTTTCAAATATTATAAAATTGTCTCAATAAACAAAAAAAAATCATTTCCTAACGCTATAAAATTGTCTCGCAATAAATAAAAAAGATTGTAAAGATAAACGTGAGATTTCATATTAATGGGAGAAGATAACGAAACAATTTTTTATAAGTGTATGAAAATTACTCTCTAACAAGTGAGTTTTAAAATTGTGAAGTTTATGACAATATGTAACGAACTAAAATGAATAATATCTAGTAGTGGTGAGTTTGAATTATTACAGATAGTTTCATAGTGTGCCAGCTAGGACGCTAGCCCTAAGAAGAGAAGATTATGAGACCTTGACATTAGGTGACCCTCAAAACGTTTTTTAAAATGGCGGGAGGTTGAGGGGGATATGTTGCAAGCTGGGGTTGGCGTTGGGAGGTTGAGGCGGATATGTTGGAAGCTGGGCGATGGCGTTGGGAGGTTGAGGCGGATATGTTGGAAGCTGGGCGATGGCGTTGGGAGGTTGAGGCGGATATGTTAGAAGCTGGGCGTGGGCGTTGGGAGGTTGAGGCGGTAGGAGCATGGAGCTGGCGGGCCTATCTGAATGGACCATAAAACGGATGCGTACGCCCACGACCATAACGAATGTCGAGACAAATTGGAGTGGTGGGCTTTGGTTAGAGGAGGATGGCCTTTTCTTTGCTCACTTTTGCTTATATTTGATTTACTCTTCTCATATGAGTTAAAAATAAATGATCATATTTTATTTTACTGTTTAGAAAAGGCAATGATTTTAATCAAGTTTTGGACCACTCTTTTTGATACGTAACCGAGACACCACTTGCTCCCCCATTTTTCACCGTACACCAACCAGTAAACCTTTGTTTTTATTCCCTGTTCTTATTACTATAAAAAAATTAAAAAAAAAAGGTAATTTCAGTGGAATAAATGCGGTAATAACTTGACCACTGAACAAAAGGCTAAAAAAAAGATATGGGAAAGTACTGAGTTTGATGAGGTATGATGGAGCCCATGAAAATTCCTAAACCTAAAATTGGATGCATTTCCCCAAATAGAGTTATGACCCCTTTTTTAATTTCTCTCTGCGTACACCCAACCCAACCCGACCCAACCCGATTGACCGAACTAAACCACTGCTCTGCTCTGTCTCAATGTTATTACAACTTCCTTTTCCTTTTCTTTTTCCTTTTGGTCCCCCTCCCTCTCTTTTTACCCCCACATTTCCCCTCTCTTTCTTTTATTTACTTCCTTCCATCCCCACTCCCTCTCTTTTTCAACCTTTTTAACCGTTTCCATAAGTTCGAGTTTCGTAGGACTTGTGAGCTCGACAAGTTCGGGGTTGGATGATCTTTTGCGTGATTCCCCCCCTTGCCAATGGGGTATACAAATTATTTAAGTTTGAAATCATGTAACAACCCAAACCCAAACCCACTCATCCACACCCAGTAGATATGGTCTGTTTCATTCCCTTCTCTAATCAATACGTGATCTCACAATCCACTCTCTTTGGGGTCTAAGAACTCTAAAACGCGTGTAGCATAGGAAAAAAAAGGGTTAATAAGAGAAAAGGAAGAAGAGGGGAGAAAGATTCGAAAGGGAGAAGGGAAAGCGTGTGGGAAGTGGGTTTGAGGTTAAGTCGTGGTCAGTGCATGGGGAGCGGGAATTCCGAAGTTACCCAAAAATCAGTAATCATTTTTTTGTTCCTCCTTATCCCTTCATCGGCTTGTGCATGGTGGATGGTGTGTGGTGTATGCTCTCTATTTTTCGCCCCACAAATCTCTGCTTTTCTAAAAGCGACACTTCTCACAACACATTCTGCACAAAGCTCCTCTTTTCTTTCTTCTTTTTACCCCCAATTATGTCTTTCTTTTCCTCCACTCGTGTGCCATTTCCTATTATCGTGCCTTCCTTTCTCTGCTATGTTTAGTACTTTCTCTGTCTCTCTCTCTCTCTCTCTTCCTTTTTTTCTTGCTCATTCATGCTTATGTGAACCGAAGGTTTCCACGTTCTTGTAACAAATGTTTTGTTTATCTCTCCAACTGACGTGGGATCTCATAATCCACTCCCTTGGAGCTGGCAGGTAGCACACTATCCAGTGTTTGACTCTCGTACCATTTGTAATAACTCATGTCTACCATCAGCAGATATTGTTATGTTTAGCCTGTTACGTATCGCCGTTAGAATACGTCTATTAGGGAGAGATTTTCATATTCTTGTGAAAAAATGTTTCATTTAACATCTACAACTGATATGGGATTTCACAATCTACCCCTTGAGAGCCAGCGTGCTCGCTAACACACTGCCTGGTGCTTAACTTTGATACCATTTGTAATAGCTCAAGCTTATTACGAGCAAAGCTATGGCAGGTTGATGAAATTTTTGAATGCATATCCAATGGTTATTACAAAACCAATCACATCGTGGTGATCTCTTTTTCCAATACTTGGTTTCTTCCACTTAGAGATAGGAGGAAGGAGGGGGGGCTCTAGATTTTGAGTACACATTCCATAAGGCTAAGATTACAAGACTCTTAGTTAGTTCTTCTTATCAAAAGGGTTTCATCAAACAACTATACATATTCTCAACTAAGTAATCTAATGTTTGAGCTACATTCACCAAATTTCAAACCAATATCTAAGCAACACCTAATTGATATTGATCTGTTTACCTCTATATGCAGAGAATGATGATAATGTTCTTAAACCCTTCATTTAAGAACCAAAACAACAAGGGATCAAATTCTGCCCATAATCCAACCAATTGGATGAGTAAAACAGAAACACCCAATTCATGCAACTAAAATTCATCCTAAATATGAGCTTCTTAATTGGTTGAATGAATGATTTTGATTATAAAAAAAAAAAAAACAATAATAGAAACAAAAGCCATGGATGATGGAAGTAATAATCCCCACGGAAATGTAGGCTCAGGATGCTTACTTTTACCTTGAAATCTGTAACCTAGAAAAAGACATTCCACTGCACACTTTCTTGTTCAGTCCCTTACCTCAAAACCCTAATTTTTCTTTTTTCTTCCCAATAAGATTCTTCCAGAATTAAAATCTCCTCCTTTAATTTTTTTTTTTTTTTTTTTGAATTTTATTTCAATCCCAAACAGGAAAAACTTAACCCCCCAAAATAAAAATTAAAAAGAAAAAAAAGAAAAAAAAGAAATTGGCTTACAAATTGATCAATCTGATGATCTCTTCCTCAGACAAGCAGCTTCAAAATTAGAGATTTTGTGTCCCTTTTCCATGAGAGTTTGAGTTGAAGGAGCTTGTCCAAGCCTGAGCTCTAGATCAACCTCTTGGTTGCTACTTTCCATGGCTTGTTCATCACTCAAGGATTGAGGGAAACTACTCGCTCCGGCACGGTGATTACGAATCGGAAAGGCTGAGGCGGGCGAGGTCGAGGGCATGAAGTTGTTGAAGGAATGATGGGACATAGAGAAAAGAGAAGAGGGTGAGCGAATGCTGTAAGGGTTTGGGAATGGGTAGAGAACACACAACCCTCCACCATTAAAATCATGAGCTGGGATAATGAAAGAATTCGAAGTAGAAGAAGAAGAAGAAGAAGAGGAAGAAAAGGGTTTGATTGCGTTCGACGGGGCTTGATGGAGCCGAGCACGATCGCGACGGTGAACATTCATATGACCACCTAGGGCTTGAGCAGACCTGAACTCTCTTCTACAAAAAGTGCAAGTGTATGACCTAGGAGGCCAAGTAGTTCCCATGACATCAGCCGTGTCCTCCGCGAAAGCCCTGACTTCCCACGAGTCATCGTCGTCGACAACGTCTGGCGTTTGCATAGGGCTTGAACTGTTCGGAGTCGACCCGTCTCGAGTAATTTGAGAAAGAGGAAGAAAAGAAGAAGAAGAAGAGTATTGAAAGAGAAGGTCAAGGTGAGCAGCCATGGAGAGAAGGGCAATTATAATGAACTGACAAGGGATAGATAAAATAGGTATGATTGAGTTAAAATGAAAGGGGGAATGGGGGGAAGGAGACAAAATGAAGCTCTCAAATCGGTGATATCACCAAATTATTCTTAAGCAAACGCATTTGGAGTTTAGCTAGAAATTGACAATATTCTGATCAATTTTGAACTTCAAAACCCCCATTAACCCCAAACATCCAAATTCATCCAAAAATTTGAACTTTTTTTCTTCTTTGCCTTCTTCGCCTCCTTAATCAATCCATTTCTGAATCTGACATGCTTTCAAAACACATTGTAAAGCTCATCTTGAAATGGAAAAAAACCAAACACAAATGACAATCTTAGTGTTCGTTGTCTTAAAGAGACAGCCCTTGTTTCTGCCGTCTTGTGTTGAATGCCACCACAATGTAACTAAGATCTTCTTACGCTACCTTAAGTTTTCTAGTTGGATTCGCAGCTAAGGTTTTCAATTCATTAATAATCCCAAATCAATCCTATTTAATACCCACAATGCAATTATTGTGACCACGTCCATCCACTAGCAGACAATATCTATTAGGAGTGAATTTTTGGAGATATATGTGGAAGGATTATTGAGTTAGTTCGAGTTTGGACATAGAGGGGACCGAGGAAAAAGGGAAAAGAAAATTGATGTGGTTGAAATTTAAACAAGGGAAAGGGTTGGAGGAGGTTGACAACGACAACTTAAAAGTGCTAAATGAAATGAACAAAAATTCATTTCGATTAAATGTTAGGTGAACAAAAAAAAATCTTATCATATGATTTCATGGGGGCCATATTTCTTTTAAAATTTTCAACATTTCTCACTCTCACTCTGTACGATCCATAAGTTCGGTTGGTTTGGGTTGTTCGAAATTTTATTTTAAATGTATAAAAGGTGTTATTTTATGTTGAGGATCATTGGGCGTGAGTCCCACATTGGCTAATCTAAGGAATGATCGTGGGTTTATAAGTGAGTAATACTATCTTTATTGGTATGAGGCGTTTTGGGGAAGCTCAAAACAAAGCCATGAAAGCTTATGCTCAAAGAGAGTCGTGATTCCTAACATATGCACCATTGATTAATCAAAATTAACCTAGAACATAATTGTTTAATTAGAGATTTAATCTTTCATTATTTCTTAATTACACTGCGTTTTGGAACAGGCTCTATAATGGGTTTCACCTCAAGTTGTGGCCCAATAACCATTACTTGCTCGTTATGGGCCGAATCAAACCCCATGACTTGGCCCAATCAGAAAACGTGGAAGCCCAGCTAAACTGCAGTCTGCCAACAAATTGGGCCGTTATTGGGCGAAACAAAAAGCCCACAATAATTATAGACCTAAACCTAAAACAAACTAGATACTATGAGCTAATCATTATCAATCGGGCATGTCTTCTAATGATTATACATAACCCAAGATAAACAGTCACGAGCTATCATTATTAACTCTATCTTTTTTTTCAATTAAAAAAGATAAATTATTATAATATTAGATTTTAGAACGAGAGGGAAATTATGGTATAATGGGTGTGTGACTCATTATATGAATTTATCTGGCACCGTTGACTTTCATAATTTGCGATGACTTTATATATGTAATAGACAAAAAGGAATCGATAGTGTTTTTGTTGTCTTAAATAGACAAGTTTGCAAATTGTTATTCTTACGGTCAGTGAAACAAGAACAATTGTTGTTATGTGTATCTGCTTCTTTAGAATAATGACATCTTACTTTTTCTTCTTTTTCTTCCTTTTTCACTTAAAAATACGTAAATTAAAAGTTGACATTTCATTTTATTCTGATAACATATTTTATTTTATATGAAACCATTCCTTTTATCTTTTAAATTTTTTTAAAATAGATATATGTATTCAGTTACATATTTAGATAAATGGCTACCGAATTAAGTGTTTGGTATTTAATAAATATATAGATATAAATAGATAAAATTAAATAATGATAGCACGTCATACCTCTCGAGTATAATAAAATAATATTTAGATGCCGTGTATTTATAGGAATCATACGAATTAAGTACTATATATTATGATTAGGGTTGGAGATAAGTTACCAACGAATTTTATTTTTATTGAAAAAAGTAAAAGAAAAAAAAAAGATGAAATTTTTGGGAGTTTGAAGCTCACGCGGTTCGAAAAGAGCGTGGGAGTAGGAAATGAATGGATTTTGGAGGACCACCCGGAATTTAAGGAGAAGAATTAGAGAGACGGAGCGGTTCCCAATGGAAAATGACAGGCACCTCGTGGCCGACAACCATAGGTTGCCACTCTCAGGGCTGTGGTGACCTGGATTTGCACGTGAATGTCACTCACCTTCTTCCTCTCCACGCTTTGGTGTGGTGTTCATTATTTAAAAAAAGCCAAGTTAATCTCTTTATTATTAATTTAATTTAATTTAATTTTGGAGTCAATGCTCAAAACCTAAACAATATCCTTTATTTTCAGCTTTGACAATTCATATAACCCACTACCTCTCCACTTGCATTTTTTATATAATAAAAACGTATATTCGTTATGCTTTCTGAGTTCATATTGTGTATACATCTCACTTAAATTATTAAAGCTTACACGAAAAAGAACGATCCTTTCTCTACCTAAAGTAGGTGATGAAAAGTGGAAATTAACGAAGCCGACAATAACAGAGAAACCGGATCAATTGATGTCATTAAAATATTAAAAAATAATTAAAAATAAACGAAATAAAATGAATGAACAACCGTGAGATGCTCCACTACATGCCTCATGCTCCCAAATTGATATATGTAAATTAAATTACAAGTTCTAATGTTTGTAATTATAATTTGTTTAAATTAAAAGAAAAAACATAGGGTTATAAATTAATATTTAGTACGAGGATACATAGATATGTATATGTTTTTTTTTTCACCTATATAAAAAATAATATATTTTGTAGCTTGGGCATTATTAGATTTTGACAAGTTGCAAAACCCTAGCCAATGCTTATTTAATAATTACTTTTATAATTTAAATGTTCGTTGCTGCAAACAAAATCTTATCCGAAAAAGAATCTGTGCCGAAGTTTGTTTAGTGGTTCCAATTAGTCTTTGATTAGAGGTGAAAATGTAATTAAAGTTACACTTAATATTTTACTAATATTCCCTTTAATTTTTCAAATAAATACATAATACTATGAAATAAGGTTGCACACATGGCATTCATGAATTTAACATTAAAACCCTAATTTATATTTTCATTATTTATATATATAATACAATCTAACGCGAGTATAGTATAATATTTTGACATGTATTTAATTTAATTAAATTCAAATAATATTTATTTTTAAAATTTGTTTACAAGTATGGATAGTGTTTTATGATATTTGGGTGGAAAAATAATATTTGACAATTGATGAATTATTTAATTATTAATTACAATAGAAAAACCCTTTGAATATTTTACGACACACTGCAAAAATGAATGTGGATAAGGTAGAAAATTAGTTATAATATCCCTAATTTTTTTAATATTAAAATATTGAGAGATTTTTAAAAAAATGTATACCAACTCACTTAAAAAGATTATTAATGCATTAATCAAATGCTTAAATTGGGTTTATGTTGAGACATCGTATAATATTTTAGATATTATATCTTAATATTCTTTTTTTATAATTTGATTTATAGTATATATATATATTTTTAATATTTAATTAATTTATATTTTTATTATTGGTGGATATTAGTTACTGGCTTGTATCTTATTTAAAGTGCATGAATATTAGTGAAAACTTTTGATTCCAATTCTATTTCTATATTTGTCGAATATGAATGGATGCGGAGATATAATCTCCATGAATCCAAACAAAATTGAAGCAAAAGCAATGAATATTTGATTGGTCAAACCCTAGTTGGATTTGTTTTAATCCAAGTTGCACACAAATAAATAATTAATTATACTCATTAAACATTTATTTATTTATTTATATTTAAAATCCCATTGGTTGGATGCATCAAATAGCACATAAACAATTTATTTTTAAATTTTGTCTTATTCTCAACAAATGGATTACACCCTCAAATATAGACATCGCCATTAAATGACAAAAAAATAAAAAATAAAAAATAAAAAAATTAAATTTGTGTTTGAATTATTAGATTCCATGAAAAAAAAAAGACATGGTTCACGGTGATTTTAGAACCTAATTATTAATTTCGATATAAATTAAGATTTATTCGACTTAAAATGAACTATATTCATTAGACATACACATAAACTTCAATATTTATAGATTATGTTTCTAATTTAACCTTAAATTAAATTAACACAGTCGTGGTAAAGTTTGAAACTTTAACTATTTAGTGACGTGGGATTGAGAATTATATGGTAGCGGGATTCATCCATTAGGTTAGAGTCAAATTTTAAAAGGTTTTTTTTTTTTTATTTTAATTGAAAAGTAAAACAAAAATGGGCGTCGAAGGGTGGGATAAAAGAGGACAAAAGTGGACGTCCACATCACCATTTCCGCCCCCATTTGTTTTACCACTTTTCTTTTTAACTTTTTCTTTTAGCCTTTGAACCCTAACCCTAACCCTAACTTATGGTCAACTTTGTCGTAAACCCTGGTTAACTAATTTCTTCACCCAATTTTAAATATATAAGCATGAAATTATTTTATAGAAAAAAAGGGTCCAATCATACTCATTTTACATTAATTATAGTAACGTGAAATTCATGAAATTTAGGAAACTTTATAGTTATTCCATATAATTTATCATTGGTATTACCCAACTTTTAAATATTTTATGAGCTACATTTTTGGGTACTTGTTTTTTCTTTTTCTTTTTTAAAATTAATTTACCATTTATTTTTTTAAGTCAAAGGTGGGAGCTAATTCAAAGTATTAGCTTCATGGATAAGCTAAGATCCATCTATTTCCATGGATTCCATGGATGGGTTTCAACCCATTTTTACTAAATTAAAGTCTAACCATATATATTAATTAATTTACATGGATAAGCCAATGGTAAAAAAATTCAATCTTTTTTAATAATAATAATAATAAAATTATTGTGGGAAGAAAAAGAAAGGAAGAATAACAACAAAATTTCAACAAATTATTATTTTATAAGACATATACTTAGCTCTTACAATGTGTGTGTGTGTGTGTCTCTCTCTCTCTAAAGCTCCATTTCTCTCTCTAATTGGCTTCTTCTTCGTCTCCATTAAGCCATTGTTGTTCTTATAGTTTTATATATATATGTTCCCGAATTAAACAAACCCGACCGGGAACAGTATTTTTCTCTACATTTCAGTGCTTTTAAATTCTTTTTTAAAAAAATTCCTCCTTTTTAATATTTTTCATAGTTTTCTGTTTTTTTTTTTTTTTTTTTAAGTGTTTTTAATAAGATTGAGTGTATCAATCCATGGCTGGTTTGGATTTAGGCAATCGCTATATTCACCAACTTCAAAGACATGATTTCAACCTTCATCACCCGCACCACCACCCTGATTCTCAATCTCACCATGAAGACGAATCAGATCAGCCGTTGGATTTTGTCTCCGCCGCCCCCGCCGCCACTGACATGGTGGTCTCTCGCCGTCCCCGTGGCCGTCCAGCTGGCTCCAAAAACAAACCCAAGCCCCCGGTTATCATTACCCGGGAAAGCGCCAATACCCTAAGGGCTCATATTTTTGAAGTTGGAAGCGGCTGCGATGTCTTTGATAGCATCGCTATCTACGCCCGCCGCCGCCAGCGGGGGATATGCATCTTGAACGCCAACGGAATGGTAACTAATCTCAACTTACGCCAACCGACCGGGACCGGCGCTGTCTTAAACCTACAAGGGAGGTTCGAGATATTATCGCTTACCGGATCTTTCCTCCCGCCGCCTGCTCCTCCCGGCGCTACTAGTTTGACTATATATTTAGCGGGTGGTGAAGGGCAAGTCGTCGGTGGGAATGTTGTCGGAGAGTTGGTGGCAGCCGGGCCAGTAACCGTCATCGTCGCATCGTTCGCGAATGTAGCATACGAGAGACTCCCACTTGAGGACCAAGAACAAGAACAAGAACAAGAACAAGATCAGATGCAACCACCAACATCACAGGGCGGTGGAGGCAGCGGCCCGTTTCCAGATCCGTCTTCAGGGCTTCCTTTCTTCAATTTGCCTCTAAATATGCAGAACCAAATTCAGCTACCATTCTAACAAATCAATTGGTGTTGATGTTCATGGGAGACTCCAAATTAAAGGTCAGAACTTTGAGAAGATTTCATGAAATTCAATTAATATTTATAGTTTCTTCTATGTTCATGGATTGTTGTAGTTCCTTAATTTCCTTCACCCTTCTTTCATGTTGTGAAAAAAAAAAAAAACTTTTTTTTAAAAAATTAATCTTCGGATAATATTGTAGGGTTTGTTTGCATATAATAATTGTGTTATCCTGGATGATAAACTCAATTAATACTCGCTAATCACAAGGTTTAAGTGGTTAGATTAAGATTAACATCTCTTTGTTATCCATTAATGAAATATATAATATTGATTTAGTATTTGGAGGTAACAAATTTTTACTATTTTTGTTTAATTTTCATAACTATTAATTGAAAAATTGTAATTTAGAGATTTTATTTTTTTTATTGGTGCTTAAACTTTGATTAAGTATTTACTAATATATATATATATATATATATATATATATATATAATTTTGCTACTATTTATATAATTATTGAAGTCTTGTTTTCTATTGAAAGTAGAATAAGAGAAGCTATGTTGGATGAGTTTATTTAATTCTTAAATATTAATGATTTTTTAAAAAGACTTTTTTTTTTTTTTGTTTTTTGTACGAGTTTTCTTTCTATTTGTCACATCATACAAACGGATCAAATGATGTTATGTCAACATTTTACGTATAAGTAGTAACGAAAAAACAAAATGGAAGCATTTTTCAACGAAATTAACTTGAAAAATAGAACATTTGTTTTTTATATTTAAACTAATATGAAATGTTGGTTGAATAAAGAATTTTAGTAAACATTGGGCCTTTTTGGGCTTTGTTTGGGCTTTGTTAAGTACAAAGCCCATTTAAAAGAGCTCTAGTGGGCTTAAAATTGGATCAAATTGTCCAACGTGGGAATTTACCCTAGTGGGGTAAAATAGTAAAAATGAGGTTAATTGTAATTGGATAAAAATTTGATTTTTCTTAGACCCAATTGAGGGATATAAAACATATTAACAAAAAATTGATGAACAAAGGTGTTTAAGGAATGATTCTGGACCGTTTTAAGTATAAGCTCTCGTAATTCTAAGAAATAGTATTCATTGATCGTAAACTCATGATTATTCTGATTATTGAGTTAAAAATCTTGAGAATAAAAGTGGAGAATTTCGTCTAGATTGAGGGTAAGCAAAGAGGAAGAATCGTTGTAGATGAGCCAAAGGAAGTGCTCGAACAAAATAGCATCAACATCGACAAATATTATGTGTTCTTCCCTTCTTCTTTTCCCCTGTTTTTCTTCGAATCTTCCCTTTTCCATCAGAACCCGAAAAGGGTTTTCTTCTAACACAAATGGGTCTACCAGGAATTCTGTCCTCTCCTTTCCCACCACCACCCTTACCAGGCTCTCCGATTTGTTGAGGCGGCGATAGGGGAGGCGTGGGGCGGTTCTCCGGCGTCGTCTCTTCATGACGTAGCAGGGGAGGAGGAGGACTAAGCAATCCATTGTTGGGAGTGAATGAAGGGGAAAGATGAATGGATGTTTATATAGAGATTGAAAGGGTGTTGGGTTGAATTGGTGGAGGGTAATTGTATTTATTGGTGAAGGGTCTCTCTCTCTCTTTCTCTGGATCGAAGGATCCGTTGAAGAATCTTCTGGGTAATGTCGAAGTTTGGAGTGGGGATTTTGAGCCGTTGCCGACTCCATTTAAGGTTGTGGGGTCAACTTAGAGCAGTTGATTGACTCATTCACACAGACCCAGACAGACAAGTAAGTCATAGGGCCTTCAAAGTGGAACCATTATTGCCTTTTTTTGCTTTGCTTTCGGATTTTAATCAAATATTATATCAAAATCTTTTTACAATTTATAACCAAAAAAAGATTTCTGTGCTGATAAAGCTTGATCATAAATCATATTGTTGGGATATAATTTTTGATGTTGACGAGACATTTGAAGATTCTATGTAAATGACTAAAGGTTGAAATATTTCGTTATGTACTTCAGATTCACTTAAGATATTTCATTTGGTTTCGTGTGTTCCTACTCAAATATATATATATATTTTTTTAATTAGAAACTTTTTTTTTTTTGTAGAAGAAAAAAAAGTAAATGTAAAACAAGGTAGGTGGTGAATGTGAAAATAATAGAAAAGAGTTAATTTAAAAAAAAAATAATTATTAAAAACAACAGAAAAGAAAAGAAAAGACACGTAATGGTTGAATTAGCTGTCAGTGTTGGCTTCCGTTTCGTCTTAAAACAACGCGGCCTTTGCACGGATTTGACTCGGTCAATTTGTCGGTGTTTAATTATTTTTATCTTAAAATTTATGCCAAAATAACCAAATAGTCGATATGTCCGAGTGGTTAAGGAGACAGACTTGAAATCTGTTGGGCTTCGCCCGCGCAGGTTCGAACCCTGCTGTCGACGGTTTTTGTTTAAATTTCCTTTCTTACGTTTTTGGACATTTGAAATAGACTTGATAACCTCTTTATATATCTCTCCTTTTATCAATTATATATAGATATAAAATAATTATAATAAACTTGATAACCTCTTTATATCTCTCTCTTTTGTATCAATTATATATAGATTTAAAATAATTATATAACTCATAAAAGACAACACCATAAGATAAGTGCTATAATGCAAGATGGGATTGTGGCGTATTTTCACTGTCTGGATACACGTTGACAAGCATTCTTACTTTTGTGAGTCGGTAACTTGAGAACGTGCTAAAAATCTCGAATTATTTTTACCATAAAAAAATGTGAGGATCTCGTTATAGCGCCATGCTTCCTTCAGTGCTGCGGAAAGAGGGGGGGAAAACAGAAAGCAAGATTGAAATAATAATCTTTCTTAATAATTACCTAAATAAATAAACATAAGCCCCTCTATAAAATACTTTTGGTAATTAATTGCGAAAGTTAGATTCACAAAACGATGTTGAATGTGTGTAGACTGAAGAGCATCATCATCATCATCCTAATGCACTTCTCACTGTTAGTTGCAAAATAAATCCTCATTGCTGTGTTTGGCCTGCCCACAATTGGTGGTACATCTGCATGTTGTGGATTGGCTGGCTGCTATTACTGAACATTCCGGGATGCCTATTGTTAAGAGGGCTGCCTCCGTTGTCGGCAGACGACTCGCCACTCGATGCCCCTAACGATGGAGGGCTGGCTGCAGCTGCTGCTGCTGCACCACCAAAGTTTATCATTTGAGATGGTGAAGCAGAGGATCCAGAATTCAGCATACCTGTGTTGTTGGACTTTTTATCATTCTCGAGAAAACTTCCCACAACCACCTGAGGATGCAATGAAATCAGAGTGTTTGTAAAGCATGATCTGTGAAGTCTATCAAGTACATGACGCCTTTGAAGCGCTTCGGACATAAGTTATATGAGTGTTAAAAAACAGTTTCTTTGAAATAAGGATACCCAGGTAAAATTAGTACCTGTACTTGGGAACTTGCCATTAGCATTCCTGCAACTCCACCACCAAGAACCTGTCCGTCTGACCCAGCCAGCAGCACACTCAAACCACCTGTTCTACTTCGAGTTCCATTATTCTCCGAGAGCATAAAGGAGCCTGACAGAGAGATTATCTCATACTGCCCCTGCATAAGATTAGATAAATGTTTTTCTTTTAGAATCGATCTCAAACTGATCCTATATAAGGTTGCGCCTATTTTCATAGGGGATTGATCACATACTCAAAGCAGAGCATATTGCACCTGTTCTACTGGCACTAGTACGGAGTTTTATTGTTACAAAGTCTATATTTTCTAGTTTTATACTTTTACGACCTACAACCATAACCTCTACGAATCATCTCGGCATATTCTTTAATATCAACTGGCACCTATTTAATTTCCGGTGGAAAGATCGATTGTGTAGGAATTGTTGAGAGCCCTTCCAAGAAAGGCCACTAGGCCTATCTTCATATTGACCAAGCCCTTTTTTCTTTTATCTGTCCATCTTGCAATAATCATCTGCATTTTTTCTTCCACTCTCTCCTTTATCAACCGGGGAGTCCCTTTCCTTAACCCTTAGCTTAATGGTGATAACTTCAAGTCTAGAAAATTATCAGAAACGTTCTCACTTGGTGACGATAAGTTTATTGCTAAATCATGGGAAGGCACACAATGTCACCTGTGCCAAGTAAAGTGCATTTCTCGAAATATAAAATTCAGTTCTACATCAAAATTAGAATACATGGTAACATAACATAAGATGATTTAGCAATGGAATAATATATATTTTTAATAATATAGGTTTTTTATACCGTTTTTACCTTCAAGAGATGCTGAAAGAGATCAGGATCCCTTAATTAGTGTAGTAGAAAAGGAGAAGAAAAGGCAAAAAGAAACTTGGTGATTGCCTTTATTTTACTGTAGTGCAAATGGTTATAGAAAAGGTGACCCAGACGATCGTCCACGTGAATGCACTTTGCAGGCACATGTGGCTCCTGCCTAACCTTAGAAACACTGCCTATGAATCACAGAATCTCTACAACATCAGAACTGAAAAGGACTGTGCATACTTGGGAGGGAGCATGTCCCTACTACTTATTGGAAACAAATGTTATCCTAACCTGAGCACACTTAAATTGAACAATCCTTTTCCATTTGCTATCCAAGGTCCATGTAGTTGATTTAATAGCTATCAGATCGGAATTCAGCGAAGGCTTCAAGTTTACATGAGTTGATGATTAATTCAAAGAGGCAAATACTAGATATGATAAAACATTAGTAATTATATCCATGCAGAGAGTCAATCAGCTATGCAATTCAAAAACAATTATAAGCACCTCATATGTCACAGAACCACCAGATGTCATTGAGTGTCGAAGAGTAGCATTACTGATGGAACCATTTGCAGAGAGAATGAAGACAGTTCGTGGTCCTTGCTGTGAGAAAGCCAAAATTTTTGCTGCTACGTCCTGCAACCATGTAAGCATGAAACCCGCATTACGACCTAAGAGTCTCCAATAAAATATTACTTCTATCAATAACTCTCCACTAAAAGGAAGAAAAGGAACCATCAAACTTGCAGGCATCCTCACCTCCAAACTCGTGCAATACATAGAATTACAAACTAATGACCTATTAGAGATGAATCATAGCTATGCTTACATACTTTCTACCAGATTAGTTGACCTATTAGAAAGTTGGAATTTAGTCTTTGTACTTTTAAATGTTAGAATTAGTCCTTTAGTTTAATAAAACTGGAAAAAGTAGTACTTACTGTATTCGTGGAGATTATCGAACCATATGGACCACTTATAAAGTTTTATCAAACCATAAGAAATTCTAACTTTTAAAATTGTAGGGACTATGTTCTAACTTCTCCAAACCGACTAGAGTTGTAATTAACAATAAACCATGAAAAGGATAATCTAAAAAATAGAAGTCCCAACACCACTGATAAAAAGATTTGTCAAGAAATAAAAAAAGGACTACCGAGAGAGAAGTAAAATTAATCCAAAGCTCAGAGGAACAATGTAAATCTTAAAATCATGTTGCAAATAACAAGATATTCATTTTGATGCTTTTAACAGGAAATTTGACAGCTTCCAAGCAAAAAAACTACATCAATAACATACAATTTATTTTACGCTTATTCATTGCACGCAATTTGCATTCTGGCAACTTCTACCTAAAAAAAAACCATGTTCACAAGGTAGTTGCTAAGTTTACGCGACTACAAAATTCATTCTTTTTGTGCTACTTTTGTTTCCTTTTGAGAAGAATGTTGCCTTTGTTTTCAATATTACTTATAATCATTTCTTAAATCAAATATACAAAGCCTCCATAACATACCTAAATTGACTGAATTCACTCCAACAACAAGCTAAAACTTCATGGAATGATATCAATGCATTAATACTCAAGCTCAAATCAGTTTATGACAATGCCGTCATAATTTAGCTAATAGTTCAGTCTATCGTTTATCAATATCGAAGTCAAGGATATTCGGTTCCTTAAAAAGGATAAAAAAAGTTACATTAGATTTCATATACAATGCAAAATAATTTCTGCGTCGTGAAATAATTCATCTTTGGTTGTAGATATCACATGATCTAACAGATAAATTCAGGAATGTCACATTTTCTCCACAAAAATTGATAAATGAAGAACTCTAATATGGATATAACTAGAATGAACCAGCCAAGGAGACATCCAGAAATCCAGTATCCCATTTAATACAACATATTCTGAATGTAGTTTTATACAAAATCCGTAGTTGTCCTAGAACTAGAAACAGAAACAAGGGGCTACTGCATCACTTCCCAATTACAGCATGTTCTTTTACGTGCATTGCAGTCATTCTAATAAACGCGCATAATCTTGAACGCTTAAACTAAAGATCACTTTAAAAAGAACAATCTTTCAAATTTCAATAATTATATAAAAAACAAGCTAAGAATTATACAGAATACGCACCTCACCAGGCTTCGCCCATACTACGTGAGGAGTAAAACCAACACCGCTTGATCCTATCCAACAAAACGTCCAGATAATATCAATTAATATGAACAAAAAAATGCAGTTCCAACACAAAGAAAAACAAAAGAGTAATTCAATTGACGATACCAATAGCATTCATCTGTTTCTTCCCCGAGCCTGGTGGCCTTCCCCTCGCTTTCTTCGCCGGCTGCTCCAAATCAGGAGTGCCGCTCAGATCCCCGTGACCGACAGAAGACGCCATAGTGGTAGGTGCTAAGCCTAAGGCAATGTTACCATCAGGCGTGTACTTCCTCGGCCGTCCTCTCTTCTTCTTCCCCGAATCAGCGTTGAAACTCCCAGAATGAGATCCGTCGTACGGAGAAACATTCATAGAATCCAAAGGCACGGACGCAGGGGCGATCACAGAGTTAAACGGAAATCGCGCAGAAGGCTGTATCATCTGTGCCGTGGCCGGATTTAGACCAAGCGTGGAAGAGGCATTGTTGTTGGCGTTGGACATGCCTGGCGAATACGCCGTCGGTACTCCGACCGTCATGTTGGACGGTGCTGAGAGTGACGGAGGAGTATCAAGTGAATCCATTAAAAAAAAAAAAAAAAAAAAAAAAAAAAAAAAAAAAAAAAAAAAAAAAAA